TGACTACATATGTAAAATACTCCTACAGAGGATAGGAAAAAATATACTTCTCTTCTGTAAAGTCATTTAGTAATCTGTACTACTTACAAATTAATTTGTGGTTGAAGTAACAACATTTATGTATTTTGCATTAATGTACCTCCCAATATTCAGCAAAATCATTTTACACTGTTAATGTTATTTCTAGCTATAAGTTGTTCTGAGGGACACAAGCTGCCTCCAGGGTGCTTCGAGGAGCACTCCAGATTCCCTGTAGTGCAGTGCTCACCTGTCCTCTAACTTTGCTGGTTTGCTTATCCAGTAAGACTGTTACTAGATTTAAGGGTTACAATCTAAACGTACACTACAGAGTAGGCAAATGACTTAATTTTTAAATAGCAAGTTATAGGCAAATGTGAAATATGGAAAATGCTAAACTTTATTTTTCAGTACTGTTTATAGGGAGAATTGTTAGCTTTCATAGTTAATCCTTGTCGTTACACAGGAAGATATATTCATTTCTTTGTTTTTTTTTTTTTTTTGGTTTTTCTCCGGTACCGGGAACCGAACTCACGACCTTGCGCTTGCCAGGCAGGCGCTTTTGCCGCTGAGCTAAATCCCCAGCCCCTATTCATTTAATCATTATTGTGGCTTTTAGACTGTTCTTTAGACCAGACTCTCCCCTCAAAACTGCAGATCCTGGCCATAGTTTATAAACTCTTTGATGGCACAAACTGCATCTTTATCATCTTTATCATCTCTGTCCTGTTCTTGTCACTGGTAGCTAACAGAGGCTTGCATAGAGAAGAGAAAGAGGGAGCTAGAAAGGCACATCTCCACTGTTTACCCTCTAGTATACATTCCAGAGTAGGAAATAGGCAAGAAAAAAAGAATCAAGGATTACTGATAATTAATGATTCATAAAATATTTGATAATGTGACTCACAATAATGAAAAAGTAGATTTCCTTCTCTTGAGAGAAGGAGGCTATGGTACAGCCAAGATGTGTCTTCCGCAGGACAGAGGGGATCTGCAGACAATGGAAGTGGAAGCCATTTAGCTAATGCTAAGTTTATGCACGCTGTTTTGAGACCAAATACTATCTCTTTGGACTTCTGGCTCTAGAGGAAATTGGTAGAACTAAAAGAGCATTTGATACATTCATGACCCAGGGAAATCAGCCCATTATGGCAATTTGTGTGCTCTTCTACAACTAATGTTGGAATACCAGCTTAAAGAACTTCATGAGCTCAAGTGATTCTAGCAAGCTGTATATGGTTGTTTTTTCACAATGAAATGGAGTATATATGACTTAATAAAAACATTTGACTCATTAAAAAGTAGAAAAAAATATATGAATAAAGCCAAACTTTGATACCATCAAGAAAAAATCACGTACACCAAAGTTTCACAAAATCACTTAAAACTGCTCTCACTTTCAGTGTGGTAGCCATAAATAAGAGAAAAGCATACCGGGCAAATGAAGAGTGGGTCAGTTCAGCAAATATTAAACCATATATGCTAAGTAATATAAAAATGTAAAGTAAAATTCATTTATGTAAAATAGCATTTTATTTGTAAAGGAAGTTCAAAGGACGAATATTAAAACAGGAATATGATTCTGTATGTGGAGATGTATGCCTTGTGAAGCGGTACATTTTGCAATACTTTTCTTCCTCAAGTTTCAAGTACCACTTGAAACCTAGAGTTGGAGTCAGTGGTAGGTAGCAGTACAGTTGTTTACTGTGTCCAGAAATGAGTTGAAAGGGGCACTGGTACGATTGCATATAAATATGCAGTGGAGATATAAAAGACTTCTTATCCTAATTTAACTTTTTATAAGAAAAATATTATGATATAGTTATGTAAATTTAAAATTTACATATTGGAAGCAAATAGAGCATTTTCCCTTTGGCATAAGGTTATGCTTAAAACATTAACATTTAAATTGCATGAATTTTAATGATGTCTCTAAACAATGTGTTTTCTGGCATTTATTCAGGAACTCACATACACTAAAACTTCTTTTGGTCTCCTGAGATCTCTTGTCTTCTGAAGGCTATGGGGAAAAAGATCAAAGCATATGCTAAAATCAAACACTATTATTTCAATGTAATTTCTTAATTTTAAAATGAAGTATGACATACATACTGAAATGTGAACACGTAAGTATAGAGCTTCATGATCTCTCCCAAACTTAAAAACCTGGGCAGTCATACATAGATTAAACAATAGGAAATTACCACCATCACTCAACTTTTTATGCAGCACCCCCAGCCCTTCTACCCCAGCTCCTCAGAGTAAGCATTTTTCTCACTTTTAACAGCATTATTTTATTGCTTTTGTGTTTATGCCTAAATAGAATCCCACCATATGCATTCTTTTATGTTCATATTTTTGCATAACCTTACATTTATGAAAATCATATTATTACATGTAATTGTATGCCATTCATCCTCATTTTTAAGTAGTACTCCTTTGTGTGGATATATCACAATTTATCTAGTCAGCTATTGAAGGTCTCTTGTGTACTTTCCAGTTTGAAGTTGCTGTGAATTACATTTCTATAAACATTCTAGTAAACATCTTTGGTAGACATGAGTATGCTTTTGTTTGGTCTATATATAGAAGTGGAATTTCTGGGTCATTATAGAATATATCTTCAACTTTAGTATAAAAGATACTTCCCAACCACTTTGCAAAATGATTGCAGCCCATCTTGTTTCTTAACTGACTACTTAGATTTGTTTCCTATGTGGAATTTACCACATCCTTGTCCTAACCTGAAATTCTAGGCAAATCTCCATTTATGTCAGACCAAACTCTTTGAGAGCAAAATTTCTAACCAAGTAAAGTTCTACAAAAAAAGAAGTTGTCTAAGCAATCAATTTTATATATCCTCAAGTGAAAGATACTTACCTTCTTATTTTAGAAATATTTTGTCAAAAAGAAGTAAATTCTAGAGAAATGATGTCTGCACTTAACAATTTTCTAAGTACATATTGTAATTTCCCAGCACTTGTCACAGGAATCTTGGGTATTATTATTCTCATTGTATGTTTGAGAAGCTAAGGGGTTAAGTGACTGGACAAGGTGGAATAGCTAGTGAGAGGCAGTACACGGATTCAGTAAGCTTCACTGTGCCCTGTACCTGTCAGGCATTATGCCACCTAATGAGTCCTTTCTACACCACGTGGGTTAATTCTGGTCTCTCCCACACCTGTAAGAAGTTCCATGTGAACCTCTTGGTGGGTTGACTTTACCATGCAACTTAGTGACTCTTTCCTCTGGACTACTTCTCACTGACTTCCATAAATGAAACATATGCAGTAAGAACAGTTTGATCCGTAGTAATACATGTCAGATATATGGTAGATGTAGAAATGGAAACAATGCTGCACCATTTATTTTTTGACTTTAGTAATGGTCATAATTTCATATTTCATATATTACAAGTAAAAATGTTAATCCTTGTCTTCAGGATCTCTTCTACTTCTAAGGTATGAGCAAAGTGCATGACTAACAAGGTAGTCTGCATGAAATTGCATATTTGTTTAAAACTGGAGTCACTAGCTATAGACACTTTGGTGAGTTGCCATTCTATTTCCCCCGGATCAAAATTTACCATTTCACTTATATATGCCATATCCCAAGTCACTGTGTATTTTAAATGTTTCTATCTTACCTTAGTTCCATTTCACCGCATCATACAACTACTGCCCAAATGTCCATTGTCTGCACATATCAGACTTAGTCGAGTTTGTTGAAGCAAATAATGTTAGCAGACTTCAAAGTCAATACTTTGGCTTTCATCTATGACCTCTGAGTTGGTGATCCTCTCTTGCTATTTAGTGCTAATTATGACTTTAAATGATGTTGGCGAGATGTTCAAAGAATTAGATGTGATTAATATAAAAGGTCCAAATCCCTCATAGACAAAGAGTAGATTACATAGTATCTTCATGCTATTCCTTTTTACTCTGAAATAATTTCTTTTACTTTTTTTATCTTTATCATAATTAAGATATTATGCTGAATGGCCACATTTGCTCTAAGAATAAATCGCATTAATTCACTCTGCTGTCATCCCCCCAACCGTGGCATAGAACAAATCTTTGTCCTTAAAGAAGTATACATTGAGAATCATAGTGTTCTGTCCTTGGCCCTGTGCAAGTTACCATTGTCAGCAATGCTTGGATGACAGGATGAGAGGAAGGTTTATTAAATTTGCAAGACACTAGACAGTGTAGTAAATTCAGTATTTCAAATTAGCGTTTGAAATTATTTCTTTGAGGCTAGCATGCTTCGCGAAAACAAACGTAATAAACTTTAGAAAGAGAAATAGAAGGGCTAAAAATGAAAGTGTTAGTTATTTTTAATATGTGGATGCCAAACTGAAATAAATTTTGATGATTTAGTTCAGTTGGAGTTAAGTATTAGACAACAATATGATCCAAGTATAATCTCTTCCGATGGAATTTTCTGTTATCAAGCATTACTATGTATCCGGAATTTTACTTGGTAATTTTACATATTATCTATAGAAGATAAGTAAAGCACTCCAATTAATAAATCCTTAAACTTTGCTTAAAACTAACAGCATAACATAAAGGCAATTAATGAAGGTATCTCTTTAGAAAGATAAATCTGTGTATTTTAGGGACAATCTTTCTGGGCATTTTAATAACTAACAATATGAAACAAAGAACTATGTTCATTCCTTAATATTTTTTTGACTGCAGGCTCTTAAATTCATTTGTTCCAGCCATAATTTTAACAGTCTTAATTTATGGCAGCATTTTCTTATGTCTAATTGCTAACCCCTCCCTTTGTTGAAGAAACATTCTTAGTAGTTCATACCTCATTAATAAGCTACTACAAATATGGTACAGATAGATATTTCATTAACAGTTTCTTCCCTAATACAAAGTCTGGGCAGAATTTTTTGTTTAAGGCTCCTTGGTTATGCACTACAGAAAAGTCAATTAAAAAGATGATTCTAACCTGGAAATGTTATCAGTCGTCACTTTCTATCAGCTCCCTCTTCTATAAAAGTAGCTGGAGGTTGTCTCTGTCATAACTTTACAGTGTGAACAGAACTGCAAACAAAATGTGAGCATTAGTTCACTTCAGAATATGCCCCCATAATAGGTTTAAGTAAATATGTCCACGGGAAACTGGATCGATTCATTCAAATGTAGCTGGGACCATCCTCCTTGGGAAGACAGTAGTATATATTATTTATACTGAGTCTCCGATTGTACTTGTAGGGTCTCAGGCTAAAATTCGTTATGTCCGAGTCATTTCTGAACATGATTAAAGATTAGTTATTTAAGCTCCATGTAACATCAGTGATGTTCAAATTTTCATTCACAGGTGGTGACACAACGTAGCATAAATTGAATCTAGTTGTAGATCCCATGCTTTGAGCATGTGTGAGAAGTGGTGTTGAGATTACTATAACATATAAAAAGAATGAATTCTTTGCACGAGAAACTTAATATTCAGTAAGTGTTTGAGGCATGTCTTGTACTCTTATTCAAGGGAACAGGATTTTTGTACGCACTTTCTGACCAGCACGGGGATGGCCCTAAGGGTTCAGTAAATTTAAGCCATCTTTAGACAGTTTCTAAGAAGTTCTCACAAAGCAATCAAAATTGATTTTCTGCACTGTAACACGGACATCTATGAAAAGTAATATTAGAAATAAAGTTTTATTGAATATGTCCGTTTTGAATATTCTAAAATTGAGCTCAACTCTGTCCTCCTCCTGGAATACATAGATAAGAAGGGTCATAATTCCCACCTCTTTGGGATCTAAAATGGGCTGTCATAAAAGAATAGTGAGTAGAATTTAAACAGACCATAGAGCCTGAGAGTTTGCAGGTCAGAGGTTAAGTCTACATTTCATTCAGGAGAGAAGACCAAATACGAGCTAGATAATGAAGGTGGTTGGTTTGAAAATGTACAGAAACAAGGAGGTTGGCGTACAGAAACTGAGAACAGAAGCTGTTTGTGAGCTCCTGGCACATATAAGGCATTTTAAAATATGGAGATCATAGCATCCATCTAAAGCATCCTGCTTTCCCTTGCAAAAAAACCACATATATTTCTTTCTTTTCTCCTACATGAACTTAAAAAACTTTAATATTTCTTGTAAATTCCACCTCATGTTCACTTTTGATTTTAAGTTTTTGTTTGGTTTCTTTTGGTTTGTCTTATTGCAAATATAAATCTCTGAGTTCCTGTGTAAACGAATCTAAGATGAGAAATAAGTGATGTTTTCAGTCAGGGAAATTTCCCAGCTACCATATCTGGACCTTTGGACCACTTTTGCTTTGGTAAAATTTTTCCTACAAAATTTTTGATTTTGAGATTTTGGGAATTAGGTGTTGAATGTAGTTTTTTAAAAAATGAGTACTCACACTCGTTATTGTACAAACAAATTGCTTTTACTTTCTCTGAGCTAACTGTATATTTGAAGATCATTGAAATGAGGGCCTTCAGGGCTGGAGGGAATGTTAAACATTGGAGCACAATCGCTCTTATACTATTGCATTTACACCGTTCTGGCTAAATATCTGTATCCTCGAACTAATACTTTAGGGAGTAGAATAATATAAGCTTTTGAGGTGGGGTTTTCCTTTCACTGGAGTCTGACCTCCTAGAAACCTATTACTGAACAAAGTCTTCCTCTGCATGTTTTGGAGGTGATAAAACAACTGTGTTTTCTATTTCCTCCTCTATAAGTGTTTGTATGTAGCCATTCTGACCTCTACACCTTACCTGTCAAATTTGCATTTCTTTCTAGCATCTACAGGTGTTGAAATGCAATATTGTGTTGAATTTCTTCCCCATCTCATTGCTCCTCTCTCATCCTGCTTACAGGTAAATACTGTGTTAAGTGAGGCATGTATACCTGATCACATCTATTCAGGAGTGTTTGGTTCAGAACAAAGGTGAAAGGAAGTGACACTTCACTGATTCTACTGGTATAGACAAATATACTGTTACAATTTTTCATGGCATAGTTATTATTTGCATATTTTGAGCCATTTGCAAAATCCTCCTTTTTATGTTACATTTCCAGAGATGCAGTGTTTTTATTTATTTATATTTTTGAGAAAGGATTTCACTCTCACTATGGAGTCCAGGCTGGCCTTGAACTCCTGACAGTCTTCCTGCCTTAGCTTCCAGAATACTGCGAAAAGAAGCATAAGCCACTATGCCCAGCTAAAAGGCGCAGCTTCTTCCTCTTGTTAAGATGTGTTATGTACATGTACCAACTCATCATGATGAATATATTGCAAATATGTCTGTGAAAAACAAAATCTTAGCAAAAAAGATGATCTTAAAAGACAGCAACAGCAGTTTCTTCCCTTTTCACAACAACTCAGGTGGGAGAAAGGAGAAAAGGAAGAAGGGGAAAAAAATATATATATATATACACAAGACAGCTAAGATAGTTGCACAACGAATTTCTGTTCATTGAAGGAACATTTAGTGCTTATATTGATTGATCAGTCTTGCATGCCTATATCTGGTAATCTGAGCAACTACTTTGAAGATAACAATATGCAATACAATAACTGTTGTTAATTTCCTACCATCTTGTTTTGAAATTCTGTATTATTTTTATTGTTTTTCTCCTTTCTCTCTTCAAAATGGAAAAGCAAAAGCCTGCCACAAATTGTTATTCAATAGGTAATTCGTAACTTTCAATAAATCATTTACCTTACTCATATGCAGTTACTCTTACAAGTTTTTGAATTTTTTAAGGTTAGAGGCATGGAAAAATCCAATCTATTTTGCCTTTGTTGTTCTTTTAACTTTTGTTTCTCAGATTTTTATTTTCTGTGCAGGATTAGAAAATGTTAAAGAAAAGTCAAGATAAGCTCATTAAAATATAAATAACATAATATGTGTTTGAAAGAGGACTTACAGTAAGGTATATATGATTCTAGACAAAAGTTACACCATCTTTGTCCTTTCTAGCAAGTGAAAGTTTGAGAAACCATCATTTCTCTTACTTTCTGTGCCTCACGTGAACACATGAAAAGACAGCTCTGAAAATAGTTACAGTTCGAGTGTAATGCAACTTTTCAACTTTTAGTACTATTTCTCTCTTATTCTTGATTCTCACTGGCTAAAAGTGTGTGATTGTCCTTGCTGTTTTAATAATTAAAGACTTCACACTCAAATCCTATTAATCTTTTTATTTATTCTATTAATTTCTAGGCTGCAAACTAAAGATCATTCTATCATGTCCATGTATGTTAATTGTATCTTCATATATAGAATTAAAATACAATTACTATTTTTATTGTTAGTGGGATAATTCAGTGAAAGAAATCATATGTTTTATTTCATCCTTCCAGGATTTTAATTGCTAGGTAGTTTAAATATCTGAATTTACTTAGAACTCAGAAACACAGGAACCATTGCATGTAAGCATAATTCAACTCATCTAGTCTTTCTTTATATATTGGAATCAGCAACAGCTGACAACAGCTATAGCACAGGTCAATCATTACTGTACTGAGAAGGCCAGACCAGAGAAAAATCATGTGTAGTTGGAGACAAAGCCAAAAGTCACAAAATAAGTAACAGACAAAATATGTAAGAGAAGTATTTTCTATTTTGTGTCATATACACATATCATTCCTTAAAGTCACATCTGACAGGTAAAAGGGGCACCTTTAATAATCTTCAAGTGCACATCTGTACCTCTGTTTATTCTATACCCAGCAGAGATCTCCAAGATAAGTAGTTATTATGTGCAGTCTAGATGCATTTTCTTCCTAACTAGTGATTTGCTCATTTAGCCAATATAAACAGTTCAGTTATAAATAAATGCCTTTGGTAACTCAGAAGACTTTGAAATTACTTTGGGAAAGAGAAGAATAAGTACAGTTATAAAAAAATCAGAATTTTATACTTTATATTACTTTAAAAATTTAATAGAAACTAATGGCAGTGCTCATTTGAGTAGATGAGACATGGCATTATTTTACACAGGTATTTTGCACAGGCGTATAATACACACATGCATTGAATTTAGACAGAATCAACTGTAGTTACTTAGCAAAGAATAGAAAGAATATGTAAATAGGGGCAGGACTTTCACTCAGAGTGGAAACTTTGAGGTTTGACTCCACTACAGCACAAAGGTAATGCATATTTAAGTAATGGTATGTATCAGTATATGGTTTTAAGGAGATTACTCTTAATTTTTGTCTTTTTACATTGTCACAGTCTAAAAGCGAAGCTATAAAGTATGTATATTATTGTCTCTATGTTTTTCTTATAATACCTCATCAATACTACCTCATAAATACTGTTTTAAGGTAAGTATATAATGTACATGTATGTATAAGCACAATTAGCTTATCAAACCTGATGATTAATTATCATTATAATCATTTTTCAAAATGACTAACCTAGGGTACAAAATATTGCAGCATTTATGTGAAAATTGATCACAGCAACTAGGCTCCAAAACCTTGCATCTGAACCACGTAATATATACAATAAGTTCACATGTACAAGTGTTCATAAAAATGAACCTTATTTTATTGATTTTTGTATCATAATTCTACTCATAGGGCTTTGCATGTTTTGTGCTCAATGAAGACATAGATTACTGATATGTAACTACTGACAATTATCAACATTGTTTTCTCTCTCCTTTTCCAAGTATGTAGAATATATTTCAAGATCATAAGATAATACTTTGTCTCAATGAAAATGATTTTGAGAAAAAGAAGGGTGTTTAGAAGAACAAGAGGAAACTGGGACTGCCCCAGCCAGCAAGGATGGCCCAAAAGTTTGTCCAAATAGATAAATTTGAACAGGTTTTCTGTTTGCAATGACTGTCCTTTGCAATTCTATAATGTAGTACCAAATAAAATAATAATAATAAATATTTTAGAACTGAAGATGACTTTAAGTATTGTACCAATAACTATTAGTATTCCAAATCACCCAAAATTTATCAGCTACCTTTTATTGTTTTCAGCTTTCTGCAGACGTTCTTGCGGTCTGCTGGCTTGGCTGCTTGGCAATGGGCTCACCCACATATCTAAGTGGTCAGCAAAGC